AAATATTTGGGACTATTCTTATTTTGTGGCAGAAGAGTTATTTACATAAGTTCAATAATGCTTGTTGCAATGGATCAGAAATTGGAAATACTCATTATTGGACAGGGAATGCCATACCTGAAGATTAATCAGAAAACTATGGAACTAAGTAAGCCAACAGAAGCTCTGAGAAAGATGGCCTGGCACCATAAATAGTTCTGCCTGGCAGAGAGGATTAAAAAGAAGATATGTGAAAGAATTTATAACATAAAGTAACCTGGACTTTTCCAGCCAGCATTGTAATCAGTAGAGATTGCAAAAGAGCAACCACACGAGGGGATTATCTTGAGAAAGACTTTGAAAGAAGAAAAAAGAGACTGGTCTTTGTTAGTAGATGGTTCAAGGGACCAGCAGTTGGCATAGAATACTTGGTAAGGCAGGGCTGAATTGAGGTTTATGTGTGACTAGTGTGCTGGGCATTTGCTTTTCAACAATTTGAGTAGTTGACATGTAAATATTTTCTCAAAAGTATTTAAAACCATACTGTCACTGTTGTTATAGAGTCACAAACAAAATTATAAGAAATATTTTTTTCGAGAGGTTTTTGCTATAGGGCGCATGCGCTCACAGGAAAGACAGAGAGGCAGAAAGCGAGGAATCACCCCGCAAGGGGATGGCCACACCACAATCCCTTCTCCTCCATCCTCCTCTCAGGATCTTGGGCACGTGCACACACACATGCCTGGAGTGAATTTAAGCCACCAGGTCTGGTACTTGAACTGCAGTCGACTACATGGGAGTCCAACGACATAGCCATTATGCCAACTGCTGGTCCCTTGAACATTATCTTTAAAATTCAGTATTCTGAAAAAAAAATTTTTTTTGAAGAGGTTTTCGCTATAGGGCACAGTGTGCTCGCCAGAAAGAGAGAGAGAGGGAAAGCGAGAAATCACCCCCTGGGGGGATGGCCACGGCACAATCCCTTCTCCTCCATTCTCCTCTCGGGATTTTGGGCATGCACGCACACACAAGCGCCCAGCACGAGTTTTAAGCCACCGTGGCCGGGACGCTAACCGTAGTCGACTATGTGGGAGTCCAGTGACATAGCCATTACGCTAACTGCTGTTACCAGCAGAAACTTTTTGATATGTATAGGAAATGTGGAAAAAATGTAAAAATAAATAAATAAATAATGAAGGGGAAAAAAAGAGAGAGAGGGAGAAAACAACACACCTTCTCTACCAGAAGGGTCAGGGAAGTGACCCACTGACCCTTCCTGGAGCAGTAGTGGGTAGAGCCTCCTCCTAGGTTCCCCTGCCCCAAGAACAGGATGGCACAAAACAATACCCTGTGTCAGGGGCACCAAAACTGGCTCCGAAGCCCAGAAATGCTTAGAGAACCACAGACCACATGCCCACCCACCAGAGGGTATCATGTGCAAGGTGCCAGAAGAGTGTACTTCCAGGGAGACAAAAGGAGTGACAAGGACAAGAGTGAAGATGCAACTAGAGAAGGTCAGGGTGGTGAGGAGGAGAGGCTGGGGTCAGGAGGACCATACCATCCTTGAGCTTCTCGTCCTGGGGAAAGGGCCCGTCAGGGAGCACATCAGCAGCAATGAGCACTGCCCGGGAATCCTCCAGCACCTGAGGAAACCCCCCCTGAACTGAGTGGCTTGGCAGAGCCTTCCACAGACAGCCCCACCCCATTTCTTTAAACCACACTGGAATTCTGGGCATGCAGCTTCCCCCTTCATTGAACACCATCCCTTAGGGAACATGTACCTACCCATCAGTGCCAGATCAGACAGGCCTGCTGGAAACTGCCTCCTGCCCACACACACCTTAAAGAGCCCCTTGAGCATGACATCGAGGATCTTGTATTGCTGGTGGACATCGTTCAGCTGTGCCAGGTTCTTCAGTGCCAACAGCTGCTCTCGCCGCTTCACCTCAAACATCTTCTTGTCTGGACACTGTTAAGGGACTGGCACTGAACACCTGCCTGGATAGTCCACAAGACCTGACCCAGAGGGCCCATTTCTGACCAGCAAGTATCTGCCAGGGCTGTAGATGCCTAAGGCTGGGCCTACCCCACCCCTGGGATGGAACAAACTGTCCGAGAAGTGCGTGGACCCTGAAATGTGACCTTCATCCAGACCAGAGGACCTGGCTCCTGCCTTCCTTTCCCTGTGGCCTTCCCACCATCTCTCATAACCATTCACTGTTCCAGAACTTCCACTTCTCTGCTCATACCCCCTCCTCCTCTAGGAGTTTTTATTCTTTTAAGACCTGGCTCAAAATCTACAGCAGTGTTTCTCCCTAGCCCTCCTATGCCCCTCAGAGCATTGACCACAGAGGACAATGGGTATTTGTTCTGGTCACTTATCCCCCAGGCCTATGGATGTCTCCAAACCAGGGGCTGGTTCTGATTCACCTTTGTGTCCCCAAGGCCTGGCCTGGTCAAGATGAGCCAAGAGTCCAGTTTCTGAGTCTCTGCTCAGGGTCTTGCTCCCAAGGTGCTGGGCACATAAATATTATTCCTCACTGAGCCTTCAACACTGAGAAATGTGCCTTGCCCTCTCCATTTAACACATGGGGAAACTGAGGTTCAGAAGGGAATTAACTTGCGCAGGGTCTGGCTAGAGCATCCTTCCTTTTCTCCCCATCCTTGCTGGCCTGCTTCATCCTTGGAATCTCCCAACAGAGACCTCAGAGACAGTTCATTAAGCCCACCCCCAATCCTGACGGATACATATCTGTATGCTTGGGTCCAGGGAGGTCCTCGTGGTGCCTGTGGCTTCTGCCCCGGACAGTAGCAGGACCAAGAGAAAAGCCAGGAACTGAAGAAGGTCCATATCCAAGACCCTTGAGCCAGAGGAATAACCCAAAGAAAGGGAATGAGTCCCTTCCTCCGGGTCTCCTCCTTAAAGTTGATATTACCTAAAATAGAGAATGGAGGTGAACCGTGACTTTCCTGGGCATGGTATAGCCTCTAATGGTCAAGAGTCCAGCTTTGGGAAGCCCCTGACCCCAGTCCCTACACTGGGACCCATGACCAGCAGGTACACAATAAAGGCCTTCCATGGTAGGAGGAGGAAGACAAATGTTAACAACAAAGGGATCCTTAGAGCATAGCGGTCAGTGTCGAACTCTGGGCCGGAACCCTGTCCCTCCTCCTGCCATAGAACCTTGGGCAAATTGCTCAGCCCCTCTGAAACTGCTAAGGATAAGGGGTCACCTTCCCCCTGCATAGAGGGAGGCCGGCACCTGGGGAAGGTGGGACTGTTCCACAGCATTTCTTTTGAACCCCTTATTCTGGCCTCCCAGGAAGAACAGGGAGGCCTAGGCAGCCAGAGGGGATGTGAAATTCCCAAGGTTCCCCTCCTTCCCTGACTTCTGTCATTGAAAGGAAGAGAGATAAGAGGTGGGAAAGGAAGCTGGGCAATCTTGGGGTAAGAGGGCTGCTACTCACTCACTTTGGAGCTACAGGTACCAGCTGCAACACATCTGTCTACTTGGGCAATATTTCACAATTATTTATCGAGTACTTAGCATGTCTGAAGCACTGTTCTAGAAGTGGGACTATGGCAACAAATAAGACAAAAATCCCTGGACTCATGGTATATATGTCCCTGGCTGGGATGAGAAATAATCAATAAACTTGTCTGACAAGCACAGACAATAAGGAGGTGGTCAGGGTAATATTAAATAAAGTGGCCAAGGGTGGCCTCACACTCAGCTGGCCACACAAGTTTACCAATGAGGAAATCAAGAAAAGTGCACCAAGTGCCCAAAGTTACACAACTACGGTTGACACTAAGTCTGGTGCTGTCTCCTGACAACAGAGCATGGTCTACCCAAGATCACCGCTGGCCACTGACCTTCCAGGACACCTGTCCCAGAGGAAAGATGTTACAGACAGTGGGAACCCGCAGAGGTCGTCCAGAGGGACCCCGCCCCCACGCAGCTGGACGACCGAAGCCTTGAGAAGTAGCCCAAGTCCCTCAAGAATCCCCACCTTCCACTCTCACGTTCCAGACTCAAGGGAACCAGAACTTCGTTACAACAAAATGTGAGGGACACAGGGGAGTCTCATAGAGCGGGCAATGGCTGAAGCAGAGAAAGAAAGCCGAAAATGCAGACTGCGGGAAGGATGGGGATACAGATCCGCTTTCTGTACTGTTACTACCACTTTTTCGGCCGCTCAATCCCGCTCCGGCACTGTGCGTCCCAGAGCTCTTCCTAGGTGGGCGTGCGGCTCTGAATCCACTTGGCAGAGGTGACGAGGTAGTGGCGGGCGAGCTGTTGCCCCCGAGTCTTCGGGGCTCCGGAAGGAGGCAGCGAGTCCTCCCAAGGAGAGGCGTCCGGGCCACGAAACCCCCTCCACTAGCTCTGCAGCAGTTTGGGGCCGTCGGTCCCCGAATCTCCCTCCCTGGATCCTGTCCGCTCGCTCCCCCGCCACCACCTACCAGGTTGGGCAACGCGGCAAGAGGGGGACGGACCGTCTCTCGGCGAGCAACCCAACTCAAGGATCCACCAGGATAGCAGCAAGGAACCGAACTCCGAGCACCGGGCGAGCAGCACCTCAGGGACCGCCGAACGCCGCCCCGCCCACCGCGGCGCTTCAGGCCAATGAGCGCGGGCCGCGACCGCCGCGCTCCGCTGACCTCACTTCCGGCCCCGCCCGCCGGGCTCCTGAGCCACTCCGGCGCGCTGTCAGCCAAGGTCGGCTTGGAGAAAATAAAGGCGACTGTTGCGGGGCACGCCGGCCAACTGGGCCCTAACCCTGCCAGCCGGCGGCCTTCCACGTGCCCTCCCCGAAGCCGTTTCGTCACCTCTGACCGTGCTTTTTAAACTTCGGTCTGCAAGCTCAGCTGACTTCATTGCGAATAGCAATTTTATTTTGTTATTTAAATAAAGGAATTAGCAGAGCCCCCAGTGCGGAGTTCGGGCATCCCCTGCTAGGCTCTTGGGTCGACCAAGTTCGTCCGGGGCTTCCCGTGGATTAGCTAGGACGGAGTTTAGCCCCGGGTTTGCGCACAGCTGGCCAGCCCACCCGAGGAGGAAGGCTGGTGTGGCCAGTCACTGCACCCGGCCTTTGCCAGGCGGGAAGCGAACCAGAGGCCCAGGCCGGGGACAGGCGCCTGCAGAGCGGTGGCGCACTGAGGGCATGCCAGCCGCCGCGGGGAGTCAGACTGAGAGCTCTCCTGCACGAGTGGAAGGAACGGAGGGGGCCTGTATTAGCCAGGGCAGGGCTGAGGCTGGGCAGTTTCGCGCAGCTAGGAAGGCTGAGAAGAGCCTGACCTTCCTTGCCTGGGTGAATTCACTCTCTCCACCTCCACAGTAAGGTGGGGCCGCCAGGTGGCCTGCCTCCCAAAGCACTAGCATCACGGCTGCCCAACCGCTTGGCCTTTTACCCAAGGGTGGCCTGGCTTGCGTTCTTTGGGTACAACTGAGGCACCCAGCTGGAGCTCCTCAGGAGTCGTTATCAGAACAAATCCTGTTCCTTCTCTCCTTGTGAAGGCCATCCATCCCTTGGTGAAACAATCCAACTGGCAGAGAACCAGCTTCAGGGAGACAAGATGATTTCAGAGGGAAATGTTTTTGGAGAGCTTAGGCAGGTTGGAGAGTATAGAATGGAGGAGAAGGGATTGCAACTGTGGCCATCCTTCCTGCAATGGGGATTGGGGGGTGCGCCCACCCCCACCCCCACCCCGTGAGTTCATGCACCCTATAGCAAAAACTTAAAAAATAAAAAAATCTTTATTGCCGAAATGTTAACAATCATCTGAGCCTTCTGTAAGACCTCTTTTTGCTGGTGGAGGGTCTTGCCTCTGTAGTGACAGCTGCTAAAAAAGGTAAACTGAGGCAGAATATGTAAAGCAAAAGGAGTTTATTTGGGCATAAACTTGAGAACTGCAGCTAGCATGCAGCTCGGAATATATTCCACATAGCTCCAAATGTGCTCACTGAGGCCTTAAAATCCTTGGACAGGTAAAAACTAGAAGTAAGGGGGTCAGGGACTATAGCAGTTGTTTGGGGACAATTATCCTTGGCTACTAGGATCAGTAATAAGGGTGGCATCAGTTTAAAGTTGAACAGGCAGTCTCTGGGCAGATACCCTTGTAGAAGTCCTTGTGTCAGATTGCAATGGTCTTCATTCAATGTTGCTGTTCTGGCAGAGTTATTTAAATATCAGTTCTTGTTTGTTTTTAAACCCTTTTTTATTATTTTATTTAATTTTTGTTTATTCATTCATTTATTTTAATTTGACCAGAGAGAGACACACAGAGAGAAAGAGAGAGGGAAAGTGAGAAAGCAAGCCATGAGGTCCCAGACCTAACCGTGGTCAACCATGTGGGAGAGCCCAGCACCTTAACTACCACGCCACCTGCTGGTCCCGATATCAGTTCTTATCATGCATACTAGTGTGAAAAAACCCTCTTCCATGGCCTTTCTGGCTTGGTTTAGTCAGAGTTGGCACAAGTGACTCCATTTCTATTTTGAAATCTTTCACAGTAATGGTTGTTGAAGGTCAGAGTGGTTGTGGCAATTTCTTGAGACAATGAGTTTGCCACATTAATTGACTCTTCCTTTCAGGAAAGATTTCCCTGTAACACGCAATGCTATAAGATAGTATTTTACCCTTACTAGAACTTCTTTCAAAACTGGCATCAATCCTTTCAAACCATGCCACTTCTTTATCAACTAAATTTATGTAATAACCTTTTAAAAATATTACCTATTTCTTTCATGAGAGAAAAAAAGAAAGTACACTTGATGGGGTCTTGCCACACACACTGAGATCCCCCAGACTTCCAGGGATCCAGGAACATAGGTGTGCACAGCATGCTCAGGTTGACATAGTATCCAAACCTGGAGCCTTTCCATGTGGCTTTAGCATCATGCAGTGGCACCCTACAGCCTGTGCCACCACAACTAGGCCGAGTTTATGTAACATTCTAAATCCTTTGCTGGAGCAGTCAGAACACAAATGGCATGTATCAATTGCATTGATTATCTTATATAGGTGCAGTTCATGGCATCTCAAAACAATTACAATGGTAACTTCAAAGATCACTTAATCACCAGGCTGGCACTGGGGCCTATTGGTTAAGGGAACCAGATCTCACATGGTAGACTGTGGTTTGAATCCTGGCTCTGGCAGTTGAAAAACACCCTGGAAACATGTGCATGTGTGACTAAAATCCCAATAGAATGGAGAAATGGAAGAAAAGGGATTGTAACATGGCCACAACTCATTGGAGGGTGCTTTCTCCCTCTCCCTCTCTTACTTTCTGTCTCTGACTCTTTCTCTGTCAAGCACACATGCCCTCTGGCCATTAAAAAAAAATCACTAATCACAGATCACCATAACAGGTATAATAAGTCTGAAATACTGCAAGAATTAGCAAAATGTGACACACAGACACAAAGTGAGCACATGCTGTTGGAAAAATGATGCTAATAGATTTGCTTAAAGATTGGTGCCACAAACCTTTAATTTGTAGAACAAAACAAAAACAAAAACCACAATATCTGTGAGGAGCAATAAATCAAAGCATATAAAACATGGGATAACTATAAATGGCTATGGAGGAATAACTGCAATTGTCATCCATTTCCCCAGTAATCATGCCCTGACTTTGTTTTCAGGTCTTGGTCCTCTCCATTTCTGGGCCTTCAAGCCCTGAAGGTCAGTCTCTGATGTGGGACAGGGAGATAGCCACTCCTCCCAAGCAGCTGGTGGCAGAAGATGAAAGGAGAACAGCAGAGAGGTGTTCTATTCTAGAGCCCACAAAGGGCACAAGTTATCAGTCAAGGGCAGAGGTGCTCCTAAGAATAGCGGGAGAGATTCTAAAATTGAGACCTGAACACCTGGGCCAGGTAGTTGCTACACAACAGGTAACTGTTCCAAGGGAGAAGAGCCAGGGAGGCAGCTGGTGGGGTGGAGAGAAGGCATGCTACCCCTCATGCCCACCTCTAGATCACAGTGTCTTGGGGCACCACAACAACTTCCCAGAGGGCCCCTGACCACTGTCACAGACCCAGACTTTTTCAGGCACATGCTACCCTCCAAGTACCCTGCACCCACCCCTGAGGAAAGGAAGAAAGCACTTATAACTGGCCTTAGGCAAATTTCTCCAAAGCTCTTGAGGAAGGACTAGCTTCTTCCTGAGTCAGTGATGTGGCTTTGAAGACAGGCATATCTAGAGTTAAATCCTGATGCTATCACTAGCTGTGTGACCCTGGGTATGACATTTAATCCCTCTGGTCCAAGGTCCCTTATCTAGGAAAGGAGGTAGGAATAATAACAAATGTAACACAGCACTGACACTGTTCCAGGCGGTATTTTCAGTGCTGTCCACGCACCAGTTCGTTAAGTCCTTGCAACAGCCCTAGGAGGTAGGTACTATCACTGCCTTAGTTCCTGGCTGCTGAGGATTAACTACAGCCTAAAGTGCTTGGCCCTCTAGGGAGCTTAATAAACAGAGCAAGTCAGTTGCTAACATGGTTACTATTCTCACTGACCCCTGTATGCTTTAGAGAATAGGGTTGTAAACAGTGTCTTTTTGTCCTGAAGCAAGGTGCCACAGACTGCCATGGCCTGGAAAACCTTGCCCAGGCCAAGGCTCCTAAATACAAGAAAGGATACAGCATGTCCTGCAGGGGCTGCTGGGCCAGGGAGGCACCAGGGGCAAGGCTTTCTAAAGAAGTCTGCAGCATCTGGGCCATGTTGTGATCCGCCAGGAGGCCCCTCCTCTGGACCTGAGGGGAGAAGAGGATGGAGAAGAAAGGCCGTCTTAGTCCCCACTCCACACAGGCGCTCTCCAACTACCTCAATCCCTGCACTCTGACCTCTTGTTGACTGCTATGGCCAGAGTTCCCACCCTCCACAGAGAAGACAGCTTTGAGAGTCTAGCCTCACAGTGGCTGCATGATACCCCCTTCTCACCCACCTGCAGGAAGAAGCCACGCAGAGCCTGGAGTGTGGTCTTGGGTAGAGCAGACAGGTCAGCCAAGGCCGCACCTTGAAGAACATGACCCATTTCTTCTTGAGAGAGGATGCTGCTGCCTTGGTATCGCACAAACTGCCCCAGGGAGAGAAACCCAAATGTCCAAGATGGGGCATCTCCTTCATTTGTAGACACCTCTTGTGTCCCTATTGTGCTCAGCACTGGACTGGGGACTCAGCTTAGAAGCCCACAGGACCCTGCCTTCAAGGAGCTCAGAGTTGGTGACTGGGATTGGGGTTGTGACATGGGGGAATAGAATAAATGAGGCAGACACTGGGCCCTACCGACCCCTTTCCTCTGGCGCCCTCTTCCCACTGTCTCGCACTGCACACACATGGCCAGGATGAACTAAAGCACCGCCCTGTGCTCTTCTCTTCTACTTGCTGTTCTCCCCTGACTATCTGGAATCCCTTCCCTGCCCTCTGCTTTAGATAAAGTGTTACCTTCACTGTTGAGAAGCAATGACTCGTTTCCTGTGCTTCCACACCAACCACTACTTTATTTGTTGATTGACTGACTTCACTGTCCTTCATAGGCTTGCTGCTTTGTTATTCAGTGGCACTTACCATGTGCCAGGCACTTAGCACCTCCTCTAGCTGACCACTCATAATGTCACAGCAACTACCAGTAAACTTGTCTATCTTCTCTAGACTGAGGGACCCTTAAAAGCAGAGTATTTGACTCATTGATACCTAGCAGACCTGGGAGGTAGCAAGCAGGCCCTGGTCAATATTCCCTGAGAGAAATAAGAAAAAGGGTCTCAGGGTTTCCTGGGATGAGAAGATGTGGGCATTCAGAGGAATTCTCTGAACAGTACTCTCACAAGGTGAAGGCCCACCCAGTCCCTCTGTCTTCTTTGGGGATTATAGTTACTCAAAGAACCTTTGGCCTTTTCAGATCACTTAGCACATGACATTCTTCACACCACAAGACCGTCCTTTCACTTACCAGGGTCATGAGCCTCAAGATCTCGGGCCTAAGGAAGGAATTCTCTCCCGCATCCAGCAGAGTAAACAGCAAAAACCGATTCCAGGGCTGTGAGGCCACATGGAGCGCTGCAGGAAACACCATGCACCCTAGGTTATAATTGTTTTTCCAAAGGCCTTGAGACATCGCTGAAGAGGATTTTCTCCTATTGGTTCAAAAAGGTGCTGCTCAGGGCATGTACATATGCCCAGGACCTGGGGATGGCTGAGGCCGGGTGGATTGGGGTGTCAAGACCCTGTTGGAAGTATTGTTTATCTCTCCCATGAAATAAATAAACTTTCCCCTCCTTTTTCGTTCTTTCTTTTTTCCTTTTCTTTCTTTCTTTCTTTCTTTCTTTCTTTCTTTCTTTTTTTTTTTTTTTTAAGGGAAGCTGCTCAAATAGAGGCAGGGCATTGTACATGCTGATCCCTGGAGGTTTCTTTCTTCCAGGACCTCTATCTACCTGTGCTGGCTGGCTTAGTGAGACTGTATATCCCATGACTGTGGGAGGCAGGCAAAAGGAAGGGCTGTTCTGCTAAAGCACCTGTGACCTTGGTTGGGCATGTCACTTGACCTCTCTGAAACTCAGTGACCTCATCTATATAATGGGCAAGACAGAGCCATTGCAATGTCATTAAAATAATTAAAATGAGTATGAATCACACCACAAGAGATGGAAGCCTGAGGCAGAAAGGTGCCTGGGGCTAGCTTCCTCCCATTTACCCTACAGGAACAACAGAGAATGGGGAGGGTTTCTACCAACATCCGGGCTCCGGGCATGTAGGTAGTCAAGCAAGGCTTCCAGGCAGCCAACACAGGCCTGAGACAACAGAGGATCCTTCTGCAAAAACAAAAACAAAACAAAGAAAAGAAGTTCAGTTTAGGTTTGGCTTCCAGAGGGTTTTTATGCCAACCAAGAGAAAACATTTAATTTGGGGTTATTTGAATTTCAGAATTGTAGGTTTAGTACTGTGGCTCTGTAGATAATCAAGAAATGTTTGGTGGTCTCATTTCTCACCCGCATATAGAGTATAGTGCTTATACGGGTGACTTTACCTACATTTGGGAAAGTATTTTGTTTCAGAAAAAGAGATGGACTCTGGGTTCCACTAAGACAGTCTGACTATATAGCTCCTAGAAGTGCCTCAAAATTTATCTAAGTCAGTGAGTTTCAATCTTTTCTTTCTTTTTTTTTTTTTTTCTGGAGAGGTTTTTGCTATAGGGCGCATGTGCTCGCCAGAAAGACAGAGACAGAGAGACAGAAAGTGAGAAATCACCCCCCCCCAGGGAGAATAGCCACGCCGCAATCCCTTCTTCTCCATTCTCCTCTCAGGATCTTGGGCATGCACGCACATGCGTCTTGTAGGAGTTTAAGCCACTGGGTCTGGGATTTGAACCGTGGTCAACTACATGGGAGTCCAGCAACATAGGGCAAGACAGAGCCATTGCAATGTCATTAAAATAATTAAAATGAGTATGAATCACACCACAAGAGATGGAAGCCTGAGGCAGAAAGGTGCCTGGGGCTAGCTTCCTCCCATTTACCCTACAGGAACAACAGAGAATGGGGAGGGTTTCTACCAACATCCGGGCTCCGGGCATGTAGGTAGTCAAGCAAGGCTTCCAGGCAGCCAACACAGGCCTGAGACAACAGAGGATCCTTCTGCAAAAACAAAAACAAAACAAAGAAAAGAAGTTCAGTTTAGGTTTGGCTTCCAGAGGGTTTTTATGCCAACCAAGAGAAAACATTTAATTTGGGGTTATTTGAATTTCAGAATTGTAGGTTTAGTACTGTGGCTCTGTAGATAATCAAGAAATGTTTGGTGGTCTCATTTCTCACCCGCATATAGAGTATAGTGCTTATACGGGTGACTTTACCTACATTTGGGAAAGTATTTTGTTTCAGAAAAAGAGATGGACTCTGGGTTCCACTAAGACAGTCTGACTATATAGCTCCTAGAAGTGCCTCAAAATTTATCTAAGTCAGTGAGTTTCAATCTTTTCTTTCTTTTTTTTTTTTTTTCTGGAGAGGTTTTTGCTATAGGGCGCATGTGCTCGCCAGAAAGACAGAGACAGAGAGACAGAAAGTGAGAAATCACCCCCCCCCAGGGAGAATAGCCACGCCGCAATCCCTTCTTCTCCATTCTCCTCTCAGGATCTTGGGCATGCACGCACATGCGTCTTGTAGGAGTTTAAGCCACTGGGTCTGGGATTTGAACCGTGGTCAACTACATGGGAGTCCAGCAACATAGCCATTACGCTAACTGCTGGTCCCCTGAGTTTCAATCCTTTCTAAAAGCAGAAAAATCTTTTATCAACCAAAATCTTAATGCTCTGATAAGCACATAAGATTTCATTATAATTAATCATCAGGGAAATATACATTAAAACTACCATGAGATATCATTACACATGAACTAAAAGCTAAAATTCAAGACTGACAATGCTAATTATTGATGAGAATGTGGAGCAATCGGAACTCTCATATATTGCTGATGGGAAAGTAAAATGGTGCAGTCACTTTGGAAACCAACTTGAAAGTTTCTTATAAAGGTAAATACATTCTTGTGCATTCTTGTTAAACTATACACTATAGGGGTTGTTAGAACTTTAAGATGGCCCATGATCTCTGGTCCCCAATTTTTTAAAGAATTATTTATTTAATTTTTAAAATTACATTATTTTAAAATTTGCTACAGGGCACACACTATCACCAGAGAGAGAAAGACGGAAAGTGAGAAAGCAGGCCACCAGGTCCAGGACTTGAACCAAAGTTGGCCATGTGTGTGTCTGGCACCTTAATCACCATACCACCTCCTCATCCATCTGTTTCCAAATGTTACCCTTGTGATTACATAAAATTATATGGAAAAAGGAGATTTTTTGGATGGCCCCAGTCCAATCACATGAGCCCTTTAGAAGCAGAGTTTTCTCTGGCTTCTGATAATAAAACGAGAGATATTCAAAATATGAGAAGGACTCAGTGATCCATTCCTGGGGGACTGTTCCCATAAGCCCATATTTCTTAATTTTGAAAGACCTCTTTTATTCTCCAGATATAGGAAAATGAGGATTAGTGAGGAGTTGCTAAACTCCTTCAGAGTTAGTCTGGGAAGCTGCTGTGATGGGAGTCTCTGTGACTCTAGCCAGTACATCTTCCATTGTGTTGCAGTAGGTCACCCTAGACTACTGAAGATTCTGCACTCTGACCAGCACTCAATCAGTGATGCTCCCAGACTATTCTGGCCCAGAGGGACCAGGATCCAGAGCCCAAGTCGAGGCCTCATTGTCATTTTTCTCCCATGATACCATTTAGGAAAAACAAACAAACAAATAAAAAACAGTTTTATTGAGATATAATTGACAAACCATTATCATCTTCTTTTTTTAATTGCTAGAGGGTGTGTGCACTTACCAGAGAGAGAGAGAAAGAGATAGGAAGAGAGGGAGAAGGAGAAAGCACACCTCAAGGGTACATGGTCATACTACAATTTCTTCTCCTCCATTTATTCATTCTGTTGGGATTTTTGAACACACACGTACATGTACCCTGCATAGTTTTCAAGCTATTGAGGCCAGGATTTGAATCATAGTCAGCCATGTGGGATCCAACTTCCTATAACCACCAGGCTATGGAGCAGTGCCCCATAATATTTTAAATTAAAAAATTTATTTACTATATATTTTTAAATTTTTAGGGTAGGGAAAAATTTTTAAAAATAATTATTTGTTATATTTTTAAAAGAACTATCGATTTTAACTTTATTTATTCATTTATTTTATTTTAATTTGACTACAGAAAGATACACAGAGAGAGAGAGAGAGAGGAACAGTGAGAAAGCAAGCCACTAGGTCTGGGAGCCACTAGGTCTGGGACTCAAAACATGGTCGGCCATGTGAGAATGTCCAGCGCCTTAACCACCATGCCACCTGCTGGTCCAATAATTATTTATTTTTTAATTCCATTTGTTTTTATCTCCTTTTTTTTTTTTTTTTTTTGCGTTTCCTTTCCCTGTTTTGTTTTGAAACCTAAGTAAGCAGTTTCCGCAGGGAGGCCGCCACTGCTGCTGCCTTGGCTGCCACCCCTCCTGGAGGACAACGCCCCACGGATCCAACGCCGCAGACGGGGGCAGGAGAGGGACCCTCACACTGGAGCGCTGGACGCTGGTGGTGGGGGCGGGTGCTGAGACGGTGCTGGATTGGCCCTTCTGACAGTGGTGGAGTTTTTATAATTTTTTAATTTGACCAGAGACAGAAAGAGAGGGAAAGTGAGAAAGCAAGCTGCGATGTCTAGGACTTGAACCGCAGTCCACCAGGTGGAATTCAGCACCTCTAACCACCACACCACCTGCTGGCCCCCTTTACTATTATAATTATTTGAAAATTTGCAGTAGGGCACATGTGCCCATCAGAGAGATAAACAGAACTGCAGGCGGCCATGTGGGAATTGAGCACCCCAACCACCATGCCACCTGTTGGCCCCAATATTCATCCATTTAAAGGTACAATTCAATATTTTAAATTATATTCACAAATTGTACAGCTATATAATTCCAGAATGTTTTCCTTATTCCTAAAGAAACTCCATACTAATCAGTAGTCACTCTTTTTCTTCTTTATTCACGAAAGAGCATATATGTACATGCACAGAGAGAAAGAGAGAAAGAGAAAGAGAAGCACCCTCAACAGGGCCTGGCCTTGCTGTGATGTGATCCCCTACCTCCCATCAGATCTTGTGCACTTGAATGTACACCTGCCATGTTTCAGGCTTAACTGGCTGTGGATTCGAACCATGGTCACCATGAGAAATCTGGCTTTTCTCTCTCTCTCTTTCTTTTTTACTTTTGCTGTAGAGTGTGTGCACTAGCTAGAGAGAGACAGAGACTGAGAGAGAGAGAGAGAAAGTGAGAAATCAACCTGAGGAGGAATGGCCACACTGCAATCCCTTCTCCATTCTCCTCTAGGGATTTTTGGCATGTATGCGCATGTGCCCAGCATGATTTTCTTTCTTTCTTTTTTCTTTTTTTAATTGCAGTCTGAAAACAGCCATTGTTTATTTACTGACCAGATTACAAAAACAATCATGGTGGAATCCTTAGTTCATCCTTCTAATAAGTCTGTTGATCTGGTCTTCCCTGTTGCCAGCATCTCCACCTTCTACAAAATGGGTGGTCTTTTTCTTCATTCCACCTCGTGGAGAAGATAATTTGAAGGGCCACAGGAAGTTATTTGCTTCTTTGAAGTGTTTTCCAACAGTATAGATTTCATGAATCAGATCCTCCATGCAGATGATGCTGAATTTTTATTACCAAGAGATCGCGCAAAGAGTTGGGAACCAGCAGTTAGCGTAATGGTTATGTTGCTGGACTCCCACGTAGTCGACCGCGGTTCGCATTCCTGACCCGGTGGCTTAAAAAAAAAAAAAAAAAGAGTTATCTGTCAAAGCAATTCGCTTCTTATTGATTTTGCCATAACCACGTTTGTAGATCAGTTCATTTACTGACTTCAGGTTTGGGTACCCCCATGCAATCTATGGTTCCACAATTCTCAGCATGTTAATTGAGGCCTTGTTGAGTTTAACAAGGGTGCCATTGCAGATCTGGTGAAGACGAAGAAGCTGCAACACCTTTTGAACCTTTGGGCTCACTCCATTGATACCTCTGATACTGATGACAAATGCCAATCTGGGTTCTGCAGGTACATAGAAGTTGCCAGCTTTTCTTGCCGTCCTCGCCATGCGAGTCACAGTTCTGTATATCTGTCTATATTCCTTATGATAGTGCTTAGTTTTTTCATAGATAAGCTTCCTCCTTGCCTTTCGAATCATCTTTTGAACAAACTTCTTTTTCAGGTTCTTGATCTTCAACTCTGCAAAATTCCTTCACTTTTTCTTAAGGGTTTCTGGCACAGCAGGAACCTTTTTCTTGGTGGTCTCCGTGGCAGCAGATGCCTTTTTCCTGGTTTCTGCCACAGCAGGAACTTTCTTTTTCTTCTCTTGAACACTCTCCATGGTTCTAGTCGAAAAAGAGCCCCAGCATGATTTTCAAACCACTGGGTCCAGAACTCAAACTGTGCAGTTGGCCAGGTGGGATCCAATAGCCTTAACTTCACCACCTGCTGGCCTGGTGATCTGACTTCTCTTAAACGTCATATTAATGCTGTATTATGGAGCAGGCCCAGCAGTCATTCTTCATTTTCCCATCCCTTCCCTCAGTTTTAAGCAACCACTCAATCTGTTTTAGATTTGCCTATTCTAGGCATTTCAGGTATATGCAATCATACAGTATGTGGCCTTTTATGTCTGGCTTCTATCACTTCACATAATGAAGCTCATCCATATTGTAGCATGTATCAGCAGTTTATTCCTTTTTATGGCCAAATAATATTCCATTGTATGTATACACAATTTATCTATTCATCAGCTGACGAACATTGGGACTGTTTCCACTATTTTGTTTGCTGTCATAGTGCTGCTATGAACATTCATATATGAATTTTTGTATGCACATTCTCCAAAATGCTCTTAGACTTTCCAGCCACCAGAATCACAAGCCCAATAAATCTCTTTTCTTTGTAAACCACCCAGTCTCAGGTATTCTGGTATAGCAATAGCCGATGTACAAAGACAGGTATGAAGGAGGCTTAGCTCCAGCCCTAAGGGAAGGACAGGAAAACAATGACTCTTCCATATACTTCCTCAAATCCTGGGCAGTGACACAGTGACTGTTGTGGCTGAATTCAAAAGCCCAGGGAACTTCTGAGGAGTGTGGTGGTAAAAGAAAGAAGAAATAGGGTCCTTGGTCCTGTTCATTAGGCTATTATAGGGACAATGACTATGAAGCTGAGTCAGCCTCCTCATTGATGGCAAAAGCCCAGTAGCTTTGACATGAGGGATTCATAAGCTATTCCAGTTGAATTTCGTTTTAGGGACTGTTGAGAACAGACTGTCAAAAGTTGCCAGAGTGACACATAGATGTGATTCCACTTTTTTTGAGGTCCCTTGAGAAGTCAAAGTCACAGAGACATAAAGTAGAGTGGCAGTTGCCTAGACTGGTGGGAGGGAGGAATGGAGGCCTCTTCTGTGGAGCCATTCTTGATTCAAATAGGTCATTTTGACATTGGTTGTAATTATTTGTGTTTCCTATGATCTGTCAGTGCCTTTGTCTTAGTATGTTTTTGCACTGCTAACAGAAATATCCTAACTAAGGCCCAGAAGGTGGCATGGTGATTGAAGTGCAGGATTCCCACATGGCCAATTGCAATTCAAGTTTTGGACCCAGCGACTTGAGACTCACACTGGGTGTGTGTGCAAGTGTGCCCAGAGTTCCAAGGAAAGAATGGAAGAGAATGGATTGTGGCATTGCCATCCTCCTTGGGGGTGATTTTGCACTTCCCCTCTCCCTGTCTCTCTCCAGCAAGTGCATGCACCCTATGGCAGGAACCTGGAGCAAAAAAACAAAAACAAAAACAAAAAAACCCCACAACTAAGTGATTTATAAAGACAAAAAGGATTTATTTGAAAACTCATGATTTTGGTAGCTGGTAAGTCCAAAGACACCACAAATGATACCAGGCTGGATTTCTGCAGAGTAGAGAGTAGCCTGTATCCATCGATCTCTCTTGTTCTGGTCTCATTCCTCTGCCAATAAACTAAGCAGAACTCAATCATAGGAGCCCAGACCTAATGACTATCACTTCCAAAGGCCCCATCCTGGGACACCATGAAAAGATTAAGTTTTCATTTAACATCTTTACAAAACACATGAATTTTTAGGAAACACCTAATCACTGCTCACTAAGACCAAATTACTTAACATGAATCTTTGGAGGAGAAATCATTATCCAAACCATAATAGCCTACATGACTACTATCATGTCATATTTATTTCTATGTCCTCATTCATTTGTTCGTTCATTCAAAAAACATTACTGGATGCCAATTCTATGCCAGGCTGTATGTTGGGTATTCGGTATAAGGGAATCATTTCACCCCTTCCTGTGATCTAAATGTTAAAATAGGAACTTCAATCCTTTTAGAAACATTAGAGAAAAAGCATTTCTCTTAATGACCCTCCTCATCCAAGGAGAGATTTATCAGTCAAAACATTAGCTTAACATCTACTTAATTCATTAGGATTAATATTTGAAGGTCATGCTCCCATGAACTTAAACTCTTATCATCTTATCACTAGCTTAAGTGTCCATGAGGTGAACACAGTTTTTCTTGCCTGTGCAACCACTGGTCTGATTGAATGTAGGAGGGTGTTTAAAAAGCTCATTTTCTACAGTCAGTCCGTTAAGGGAGTCATAGCTGACTGTGTGTTTCAAATCCCAGCTTGAGAAAAACACCAGGAATATGTGTGTGTATGCCTGAAATCCTAAAAGGATGGAGAAATAATAGAGAAGGAATTACAGGGTGCCCATGCCCCATTGGAAATTGCATTCTCTATCTCTGATGAGTACGCATGGCCTCTGGGAAAAAATTAAGTTTATTTTATATGGATATTAATTATAAGAGTAAAATATTAATCTAGGCAGTGGATATATGGATGTTCACTGTAAAATTCTATTATCTTTGCTATAAGATTAAAAATTTTCAGATTGAAAAAAAGCCCATTCTGGTCCTAAGTCCCAACTATGTTCTTTAAAAGAAAAAAAATTATTTTTAATTTGTTATTATTTTTTATTTGACTAAAGAGAGACAGAGAGAGAAAACGGGAAAGTGATAAAGCAAGTCACCAGGTCTAGGACTCAAACCACATTTGACTATGTGGGAATCCAACACCTTAATCACCACACCATCTGCCAGCCTTCCCAGCTATACTCTATTATGGTATTTATCAACAGTAAAGCTGATGTTTTGTTTGTCATCTGATTCCTGAATCCTTAGTTTTGAATTCATAAGGGGAAAGAGACAGACTCAGTCCTCACCCTTAAGGATCTCAGCCTCATGGGGAAGACTGATATAAAAATGAAAAATTAAAACATAGAGAGTGGGCCAGTCTTTGGCAGCTGGATCCCATGTGACTGACTGAGCAGTCTGAGTCCTAGAGCTGGCTGTTTGAGAAACATACCAGGTGCGTACGCATGTATGCCCCAAATCCCAAAGGAAGGGAAAGATGGAGGAGAAAAGACTATGGTATGACCATTTCTGATGAGAGGCTGCTTTTTCGTTCTCTCTTTCTCTCTCTCTCTCTGGGGAGCACATGATCCCTCTGGCAAATTAAAAATACACACACACACACACACACACACACACACACACACACACAGACACACAGAGCTAAGTGCTATGATATGACAGATGTTTGATCCCTACAGAGCACAGAGCCTTATGCATCAGTGAGCTATAACACAGTACCAGGCAAACACTGCCTTAACATAGAGCCCACCCCTGGGGCATTGTCTGCCTCTGTGGAAGGCAAAAAGGAACTTTAAGAGATTAGTATGTTGAAAATTTTTTAATTTAATAAATTTAAGAATAGCATTAATATGTTTTGGAAGGATTTTGAAGGATATTCATACTTGTGTAAAAGGAGGCAAACAGTTAGAGGCATAAGTTCTTAATGTAAAGTAGATAGGTGAGATTCCAGAAGTTTTTTGAAAAGAAAATTAGCTCTTTTACAGTGTTTTTTAGGGGCTCTAACAACTTAGGTACTTGTTAGAATTTGTTCCATTGGAAGCAATCTTGAAACTGTCAATGACGAAACTAAAAATAGTGAGACTAAAGTATACAAACAGTTATTTTTATTATACATAGTATTTAAAGGTAATTATTTAATTTGTGACTAATGGCATTACATTGGTACAATTAGTTTTATTGATGATTATTTATTATTACTATGTATTACTATTTATTATTACTACTATTTATTATTTTAATAGACTGGGGAATTAAATGCCTCAGGAGAGGCCATTAAGGTTATAACTTTGTATGTAGAACTTTACATATTTACCAAAACATTTAAATCTTTATCATTTTAGCTTTTAGTAACTATCAGTATCTTATTTTTTAAAATTTATTTCATTTCATTTGTTATTGTTATTATTATTTTTTAAAAAATTTGATCACACAGAGAGAGAGAGAGAGAGAAAGTAAGAAAGCAAGCCACCAGGTCCAGGACTTGAACCACAGTTGGTCATGTGGGAATCCAGTGCCTTTAACCACCACACCACCTGCTGGCCCCCCATCGGTATCTTATGAATATGTGGTTAATAGATGAGTAAAAGAATTTTTTGTCATTGTCCTGAAAAAGTCTAATATAATCATCTCTGCCCCTCCACCATTCATAGGCCCTGACAGTAGGTGAGGCTCAGTATATGATGGCTAGATGAACAGTTACCTCTAAGAATCCTCTAAAGGGTAAAACACACACACACCCTCCAAGGGTGAACATCTGTTTTTGCTTGCCCAGGGCCCATTACTTCTTCTGGTAACAACTTTCCTTTGGAGAACTATTTTTCTCTTGGGTCCAATCTACATGGGTGATGGACAGCTGCCATATTCCTCAGCCTCCAGGAGAAGGCACTGACCCAGGTCAATCAGAGCATCCCATGCCCTGGCCATGGTGATTGGCATATTACCCAAGCCAGGCTAATGAGACATATTCTGGGAACTACTGGGATGGAGAACTTTTTTTTTTTTTTTTTTTTTTTTGCCAGGGGGGCATGTAAGGTAGGAGCTGTTGTTGCCATCCTACCATCCATCCCATGAGAATAAAGCTGACAGTGAGAAATACAGAGCCAAGGGATGGAAACAGTTTTAATGACATTGAGCCTCTGGATCCAGCTATGCCTGAAGCCAGGATTAACCCTGGGGTTTCTCAGATATGAGCCAATTTGAATCCTCTTTCTGTCACTGTATTTTAAAAGTCTCAGCCAAGCCACCCTCCAGGCCCTAATGGGAATACTAGACTCTTGACAGGTGGGGCTACCCCACTCCCCTCTGTTATCCTGGGAGAAGTAGGCCTCATTGCCAGGAGCTTGCTTAGCAAGGGCCTTATGACAGGTGGTCCACCATGTCCCCTGTTACTATCCTGGGAGAACCAGGCTCATTGTCTAGAGCCTGCTCAGCAAGGGCCTTACCTGCACCAAAAGGTTCTGTAGCCCAATGACCAAGGACAGCACTTGTGATGTTCCCAGTGGAGCCAGGGCAGTGTCCTCGGGGGCTGGAGGTGGCTGGGTCCCTGAGGGCACCAGGACCACCAGGGAAGAGGAGAAGCTCTGTTGCAGGGTTGTCCGCAGGAAGCGTAAGATGGCAGCTAAAAGCAGAAGACTCCTTACACCCAATTCCTGCCACCTTCCCCAGTTCCTACCCAGCTCTGTCATGGCCAAGGAGATATTATGGGGTGAGCATAGAATAATCTGGGTGGCTGCTACCACAGCATTTAGGGGAATGGCTTTCCTTCTGCAGCAACTCCCAGGACCATACCAGAGAGCAGTGTAACCCTTTTCTTTGGAAAGCTGAGGGCCTTCAGTACTTGCTCCAGTTCCACGGACAATGTATGGTGAACCTGGTGGGACAAGAGTAAAGGGTAATTCCCATGTTCTGAGAGCCTACGTGAAAAACAGCCTGCTCCAGTATCTCCTCTACTACCTCTTCCCATATACCCATCATATCAAGAGGGGACAATTAAGGCCATGCAGAGTCCTCAGAGCCTTTCCAGTCCTGACTTCAGGAGTATGTGGAGGAAAATCGAATCTGTACTAGGAAAATTCTTCTCCAAAATTTCCCCTATCCTCAATGGCCTCCTCCATGAGGAAACTGTCCCTGGCCTTATTTGTGGTTCATTCTCCAGCTCTGCCCACCATCTACCTAACTCAGAAGACCTGGAGTTAGGCAGACTGAATCAAAATCCTGGCTCTGCTACTTGCCAGCTGTGCGGACTTGGGGGAAAAAAAAAACCTTTATCTCTCTCAATCTGCCTCAATTTCTTCATCTATGAAATGGAGACAAGGCCACCTGTTTCCACTCCCCAGAGCTATTGTGAGGAACATGTGGGGAACAAATATGCACCCGAATACCGAACAATGTCTAACTGAGGGACTGGTTGGAGTGGCAGGTCCACAGCTGTGAATCTGCACTGCTCTCCTCAACTGGACACACGCTCCCTGAGAGCAGGAATTATATCCGCTCTGCTTAGCTCTAGCACAAGCTGGCATCGAGAAGTTCCTGAAAAATCCCTGGTAACAGGCTAACAGGTAGTGCCAAGGCTAAGGTGCTAGATTCCACATGGCTAACTGTGTGGTTTGTGGCTCAGACTTGGTGTGTGCATGTGTGCCCGATGTCCCAAGAGGAGAATGGAGGAACAGGTATGGTAGCATGGCCATCCCCCCTGGGGTGTGAGTTCTCACTTTCTCTCTTTCTCTGATGAGTGTACATGTCCTATAGCAAAACTTAAAAAATTAATTCCTGGTAACTGGAAGCAGCAGCAGTTTCTAGGCAGAAGAACCAACTTGTAAAAGGTATAGAGATATATGTTAAGATGTTAAGATATTAATAGCAGAGGCAACTGTGTGGAGGGGTTCTATGGGAACTCCGTACCACCTGCTCAATTTTTCTACAAATCTAAAATTCTCCTAAATATAAAACCTATTAATAATACACAGATGGGGCACAGCAGTAAAACACAATGCTGATGACTGATCATGTGGAAACGTTGCCAGTGTAAGTCTTGAGGCCTCTTGGCATATCCTGGGCATATGTGAGTCCATGATCTGGCTGACTGAGGATGAGAATGGATTGTGGCAATGAGGCCCTGTCGGGGTGCTATGTCTATCTGTCTGTCTCTCTGTGTCTGTCTCACTTATGGAATTTTAAAAAGGCACTTAAAATATACACAGATAAATAAAACAAAAATAAACCAAAAAGATATAGAGACACAGATGAACACAGGTGGTTGTGACAAGAGAGAACACTTGGGAAGAAGACAGAGAAGGAGGGTGGGAAATACAGGAATGGCAGAAGGTAAGGCTGCAGAGAGCCAGGTCACGAGGGGAAGTGAGGACAGAAATGTGGCTACAGTGATAGGACATGGATAGGTGGGAAACGGCTGGGGGACTGGGAGATAGTAAATAGGGCACATTGGTGGTGAGGACAAATGGTCAGGCCTGAGCTAGGCAGTGAAGGTACTGAGGAGCAGATAAGTGGCCAGGTGGAGCTGAGGGCCAGGGCAGAGCCGAAGACAAGTGCCAGTTTCTGCCTAGACAGGTGACTGTAGAGTTATATTTGGGCCCAACAGCCTCATACAGAAAAGCAGAGAAGGTTCCTGTTAATCTCAGGCAACATCCTGCAGGATTTGCAGTTTGTTGCTACTCTAGAGGCCAGAATTTAAAAGTAACTGCACTTCTCTTTTTTTAAGGGACATTTGCTATAGGGCATGTGCACTTGCGGGACAGACAGAGAGAGACAGAAGACAGAAAGTGAGAAATCACCCCTCAGAGGGGATGGCCACGTTGTTCTCTTGGGATCTTGGGCACATGCACACACGCCCAGCGTGAGTTTTAAATGATCAGTCTGGGACTTGAACTGCAGATTACATGAGAGTCTAGTGACATAACCATTACACCATCTACTGGTCCCCAAACTAACTGCACTTCTACACAAATGAGCCATGTGCTTATCACTAGACTGGCAAGGTGCTGAGCATGGTGCAAGGACATCACAGAGGGCAGAAAATGGTTTCTGTCCATGAGGAACAGCCAGCCATGGGAAGGAGATGCCTGCATGTGAAGCAGCCCACAGAGAAGTTCATGCGGACTCCATGATGACAAAGTTCTACAAGTGGCAGGAGCTGAGAGAAAGGAGGCACTCCCTGGATTTGCCTGCTGTTCTGTTCCCAGCCTCACCTTCTCACACAGGAACAATGACGGCTGGCCATGTATGGCACTTCGCAGCTTCCAGATCATGGCTGGCCTCTGCCTCCCTTATCCAGGCAGACCTACTCCACGCACTTCCCACATTTGAGTCACACAGAACACCTGACCACTCTCCAAACATGTACATCACATCCTGAATTTGTGCTTCACACCTTTGCTCATATTCTTTTATTTAGAATGTCTTTCCCCACTCCTTTGCCTGTACTATCTGATCTTTCAAGGCTTTTCTTTAAGACTACAAGTTCCCAAGACCAGCAGATGGTGTAATGGCTACATTGCTGGACTCCCATGTAGTCGACCACGGTTTGAGTCCCATACCCGGTGGCTTAAACTCACGCTGGGCGTGTGTGCATGTGTGCCCAAGATCCTGAGAAGAGAATGGAGAAGGGATTGTGGCATGGCTATCCCCCCAGGGGAGTGATTTCCCGCTTTCTATCTCTGTCTCTCTTTGACTTTCTGGTGAGCACACATGCCCTATAACAAAAACCTTCCCCCCCAAAGCCCCCCCCAAAAAGACTACAAGTTCCCTAAGGGTAGGACATATGACAGATTCATTTTTATTCTTCTGTGCCAAGAAAACTGTTGATATGTATGTAATTTATGTGTGTTAAACAGATCAGTTTAAAAGAGCCTGCTATTTTGTAGATAAGGAAACTGAAACTCAGAGAGGGCTAAATACCTTGCCAAGATCACACAGCTAAGAAGCCACAGATCTGAGACCAGAACTCAGGATCTTCATGACTCTTCTGAGTACCATCATGCTCTAAAGCCAGAGTCAGACTAACCTGCAAACTTCCATTGTGCTGGTGGGCAGAGAGGGAAGCAGTGAGCAGCCAGGCAGAGCAGAGCAGTGTGGCATTGGGAAAGCCCACCTCTGCCCAGGTGAGCGCCAGCATTTTCTCCAGAAGCTCTATCAAGGCTGTGTTGCTCAGGAGCACTGCAGCGGCTGCATGGGTAGACAGGGCAGGGGCCACATGAGTTACGCAGCTCAGTTCCACCAGTGCTTAGCACCCAGCAGGGGCTTCACACACATTCACACAAACCAAAGATCAATAAGAGACCTTCAGAAAAAAGGGCCTTATAACCACTGACCACACATATGCCCCAATTTATTTTATTAAAATAGAAAAACAGTAGGACCACCAGATGGGGTGGTGGTTGAGACACTGGGCTCCCACATGGCCGACTGTGGTTCGAATCTTGGGCCCAGTGGCTTGAAACTCACTCCAGGCCTATGTGTGTACATGCCCAGGATCCTAGGAGGAGAGTAGAGGAGAAGAGATTGTGGCATGGCCATTCTCCCAGGACTGATTTCTTGCTTTCTCTCTGTCTCTCTGGTGAGCACACACACCCTATAACAAAAATCTCTTTAAGAAAAAAGGAAAAATGGCCCAACTTCTGTGAAACAGTGATAATGCAAGTGTCCTGCAAGGCTGGAAGCTATGCAAGGCTGCTGGAAGCTATGTGGCCAACTGTGGATTCAGATCCCAGAGTGGGCCTGAAAACATGCCTGGTGTGCATACAAGTTTCTAGAATTGTAAGGAACTGGATGGCTGGGGAAGGGGGTTGCAGCATTAGGAGGCCCTATTGAGGATGCCTTTCACATGTATCTACATGTGCTATCATCATCATCATAAAAAGAAGGAAAAACTGAAGCAGAGAGGGACATGGACACTGCCCATCACTCTTCCTCTTTACTGTCCCAGCTCAGGCCCTGGCACCTCTTTTTTGACTGCTGGGTGTAGTCTGATGGAGGCTCCAATACAGGAAGTTGAAGGAGGGCTGCAGAATGTCCACATCCGTGGGGCTGCACTTGCCACACAGCTTGCTCACTGCAAGAGACAAGAGCCCCCAGGAGACATATGGAACAGCACTTGTGGCGCTAACACACACCAGCACTCACGCTTACCACCGATGATGGCCAGCTGGCTAATGTCAGATGTCAGTCTTGGGGAGTAATCACAAATGAAGTGTTCCTGACTCTACAGCCAATGGAAAGAAACACAGTGGCAAACTTGAAGGCATGCTCACACCCTCCATTTGGACAAACATGAGGTGAGCAGCCACAGCTTCACATTAGCTGGAACAGATTGTACACAGGTGCTATGGTGGTCAAAGGCATCCTATAGCGGGGCCTCTGCTATCAGACTCTGAGCTGCAAGGTCTACAGACATTACCTTGTCCTACCCGACCTCCCCCAAAAGAGTCCTTGCTTCCTGAAATGATCAACCTCCCAATTCTCCAGCAATGGGGGTGGGGGGCTACTAACCACCTTCCCAAGGTAACCGTCAATCAATGCGATCTTCCTGCTCTTGCCATGTTCTTTCTCACATCATCTCCACCTGGATAACTCCTCAACTTGTAGTCTACAATAAAGATTCAGCTCAAAAGTTCATCTCTCCCATGAAGCCTTCCTCAACCTCTCAAAGAAAGATCCGAACCTTCTTTCATGCTCCCACAGCCCTCATCGGAGCAGCTATTACAATGAAGAGTACACATCTGTGGAACGAAGCCCTCTTCTCCAGGGAACTGCCACTGTCTCCATACCCTCATCCCCATACGAAACCCACCTAAGCCTCCACGCACTTTTTTAGCAGCCACATCACACTGACTTTTAATTGGCTTGTGACCAACCACGGAGCAGGTCTCTCCCCAGCTGGCACCTCCACCCGGAACCACAGTCCCCTTCTCTGGTGCTCTCATGGGATATACTCAAAGGTGATAGGCAAGTGCCCATTACAGTTCCTGTGTAGGCTTCAGTCTGATATCCTTCCCCATCAGAGGTCCTTCTAAAGGCAGATTTTGTCACACACACATTTCCCTCCCAGCTCAGTGTCAGCCTTGATCTGATAGACAGGCCTGTGATGACTGGCACCAGGCTAAGGCAGTCTGCTGTCTGTCCCCAGGGGTTCTTTCTGAGCCTCATGCTGATCCTTCCCAAGGAGGACTGGGCTCCAGGCAAGAAAAGAACTCTGTCCTCACCTGTGGCTAGAGGCTACAAGTCCACAGACACTGAAGGCACATCACTTTTCCTACTCATTAAAACCTCCCCTCACCCTTCTTCCTGAAGGTGCTGCCTATGAAATGGAGACAATTCATGAGCAGTGAAAAGTCCCAGTGAGGTTTTGGGGACAGTAGAAAAGAGCCATCAGGAACTGTGACCTGGATCATCATATCTGAGTCAACTGTGGGATGAGGTGGAGAGCTGACACATAGACAGTATCTGGCAAAGGCTGACTATGCGCCAGGAACTGGGAGACACTCTCCATTCACTTGGTCAGGTGTTCCCTATCTCAACCCTAGATCAGAAAAGTTCTATTATTTTACCCGTAAAGAACTTGAGGCTTGTAGAGGCTAGGGTACTGCCCAACATTGCAAAGCTAGTGACTGAGATTCAAATAAGGCCTGCCTGGCCCTAGAACTTGTGTCTGCCACCCATTGATTTTGTTTGTTTCCTAAATGCTCTCAGAGAATAAACAGGAATCCCTGAAAGGTCCCTCTGCAGGGACAGCCTCCAGAGACAGACTGACATACTAGATTCTTCCAAGGGATGAAAGGATGGGAGAAAGGAGAACACCACACTACTGCATGGCCACCACCGCACACCCAGGAACTGCCCCAAGCAGCCGAGGCACCTTGGTGAAGGAGCTTCACAGCTACACCGTCCAGTTCTTGCTCGGGCCCGTCCCTCGGCTGCAGCAGTGAAAGCAGGCTCAGCAGCAATGGCAGGTTCCCCGAGGCTGTAAAGAACAAGGAGTCTGCTGCTCAGACACCTGAGGCTAGAAAGATACCCACCCTGCTGCAAAATGGCTCCAATAAGGGGCCCTGGAGTTCTCTATTTCCAAAGTGGTCAGGTGGTTTGTGGGGATGTGCCCCTACTTCCTGCCTTCTTCCTTTTCCCTTGGGGTTAGAGGTAAGAGATATACTGAGTGCCAACTCTACCAGGAACTCATTGTTTCATTCCATCCCATTTCATGTAAAGCAGGGGGTGTTATCCCTATTTTGAAATTAAGAAACTGAGGCTCAGGCCCAGCCACAGTGGCACGAGCAGGAGAGCACCACTGACAGGGGCCATAAGGGGGCCCAGGTTCAGTTCCCGGCCTGACCTAAACAGGGTAATGCTCTGGCACATGCCTGTGGTCCTAGGTAACTGGGAGGCTGGGGCAAGGGGACTGTGAAGTAACAAGGCCCTCTT